TAATGAATTGACCAATCAACAAGCATCAGTTTTGTGAGCTGTTCATCTTGAGTTGTTCGATAATCCGATCAATCGATATAGATTGTAAAGGTCCTAAATCTTTGTTCTCCATTATCAGCTCAAATCACTCTGGTCACATCTGAAAATATAATAACTTACATGTAAAGGATTCTGAAACTGATGATTCTGTCAGTTAATGAACTCTTCCAATAGTGATTCTAAATTCCAATATTATATCGGTATACTGAAGATCCGTATTTCTCTTCCCGATAAGATTATCCAGTATCTCTAAACAATAACTGGAATCTCTAGTGTGTTCTTTAATCACATGAATGTTTTATTTGATTTCCGATTTGAATTATGTTATGATACCTGACCTGGATTCTGTTTTGATACCTGACCTGGATTCTATTATGACATCTGACATGAATTATGTTTTGATTTTTGATATCTCCGTTTACTAACGGAAAAATGTTTTATTTGGGGGTATTATTGGAGGAAGCATACATGCATGCTCCTTGGCTTTGAGCTCAGGGACTTACTAGACATGACAGTGGGTGTATGGTTCTGGGGAACCTACACATTTTGGACGTGTTCGGTTGAGGGAATTACTATGGTTTTTGAATTTTAAAAATATGTTTTAAAAAGATTTGTATCTTTTCACTGGTTTTGCGGGACCACACTAGATAACCTATCATGATCTCTTGAACTTATTCATCTAAAATATTTTCCTCTATACTGAAAACTTACTGTGTGTTATTACCTGAGATATCAGTGGAACCTCAGCTCAGCCTAAAAATCTATACATGTCTGAACCAATAAGGAAATATATGCTTATATGTATCTGCACGTTCTTCAGCATCATCTGGTAGTTCTATATTACTGAGCTTTCTAAAGCTCACTTTGTACTCTCATTTCAGTTAAAAGAATCGTACCAGTGCTCTATCGACATCAATAAGGAGTTCTTCCAACGTTGCTTATAGAGTATGGTACATGTGATTAGGGGGCATGTAATTGTATTGTTTTATATATGAGTCTGAAAATCTGTTTTCTCTGCATACTGATAAACCATTTTATGAGTTACCATGTTTTAATAAAAGTTTTAAATTTTTCGAGATTTTTATAGTGGGTCACTCCGGTGGCCCTAGTGTGACACTCCATATCGGATCGGGTTACCCATATCGGATCGGGTTACCCGCATCAGTCTGAGGGGGTTACACTTAGTCCTTAAATTTAGGGAATTTTTAATTTGGTCTTTTCTTTTTTTAAAGGTTTCATTTTAATTATTTGAATAAAATAATTCGTTAAAATTGATTAGTTTAACAATTAGAGCCTTCACTTTAGGCCTAATTTTACACTTAGTCCTTAAATTTAGGAGAATTTTTAATTGGTCATCGCTTTGCTTGAGGTTTCATTTTAATATTCAAATCAATAATTGGTTAAAATTGACTAGGTTAACTATTAGAGCTTCCATTTTAGCTTAATTTCACACTTAGTCCTTAAATTTAGGGGGATTTTTTTTATTTGGTCCTCGCTTATGCTCGAGGTTCCATTTAATTATTCGAATCAAGTAATTGGTTAAATTAATTAGGATATTTTTTAGAACCTCTATTCTTAGGCTTAATTTCACATTTAGCCTTAAATTTAGGGAATTTTTGATTTGGTCATCGCTTATGCTCAAGGTTTTTATTTTAATTATTCGAATAAAATAATTGTTAAAATTAATTAGGATGTTTTTTAGAGCCTCTACTTTTAGGTTTAATTTCACCTAGTCCTTTTATCTAGGAGAATTTTTCGATTTGGTCCTCGCTTTTGCTCGAGGTTCCATTTGACTATTTAATTCAACAAATGACTTGGATTAATATTAGGGCCTACATTTTTAGGTTTATCCTCTAGGTTCTTTAAATTTCATAATTTGACACTCTAAGTTAGAGGGATTCCTTAATTAGTACATTTAATATAATTAAGTTTCATAATCGATTGCTTGATCACATTTCGATTTTCAAAATAAGGCAATGTTCATTTTTTAGGGGTAAGTAGTGTATCTCTCACTTTTGTCCGAGGGTGACCGCTATTACTTCCCAAAGTAAATCACCATCCTTCTCGAAACCCCACATTATGATTATTAAGGCAATGTTCATTTATTGTGGTTGATAACGATGTTTCTGCTTTTGCTTGGGGTGGTCGTTATTAGTCTTGGTAAATTGACACCCTTTCTAAAATATGCATACATAGTGAATTTTAAATTAAATAAAATTTTGAACTCAAAATTTTTAATTTTAAAATATAAGATAATCGATTAGGTACTAATTTTGGGCGCTATGGGGTGCTAATCTTTCCATACGTGTAATTGACTCTCGAATTTAATTTCTGATTTCGCAAAACAAAACTTAGTATTTTCAGTAAAATAAAATATTTTATTAAATTATCTAATTTTAGGTATTCCAATCTCACCTTAAAAATATCGGTGGCGACTCCATCTTTTCACCTTAAAAACGTTGTCTCCTCCATGGCACCACATGAATGACAGGTGTTGTTCGAAAAATGTCATCAAGCTTGCTCCACATTTTTCATTAACCGATCTTTTCCAATCAGCCAAAATAAGAGGCGAACTTGTGACAATCATCTATAACCTGCAATGGCTTTCCACACTGACGATGCCACTTCTCTAGCAGCCTCCATTCATCTATAAAGACGCCCTTCAATGGAATTTCCTCGTTGTCCTCCCATCTCCAATCGGCGTGTCAGCTCCACTATTGAGCAACGCTGGTCTCACGGCGGCAAGACTTAGAAAAGTTGTTTGGGGAAGGGAATTCCAAAGCAAATCCCATCGCCACTCACCATTCAAGCCAAACATACTTCAAAAAATCGATAGATTTTCCATTGCCTAGATAACCCCATTTTCATAAGGAATTCTTCGTTCCGAACATGCAATTTCTGTACGCTTAGCCCTGTCATTTCACTAGGTTTGTAAATCTCTTCCCATCGGTCAAGGTTTAGGCCACGTCTCTCCTTTGTATCCCCCCAAATAAAATCCTGAATGAATTTCTCCATTTTATCACAAACACATTTAGGAATGATACAAATTTTCATTGCATAAGATGGAAGTACAGAGAAAACCGATTTTGCCAAAACAAGCTGTCCAGCAAGTGTTAACGTCTTTTCTTTTTCCACCCGAATAGTCCGTCTCGAACCTGATTAACCAAATATGCATATGTTTCTCGCATCACATGTCTATGGAAGAGTGGAACTTCAAGATATTTGCTAAGGTTATCAACTCGGGAGAACTGAAATTCATCATTGTTATCTGCAAAACAGGGTCGCAAATGTTATGTGAAAAAAATATTAGTTCTTGCGAGACTTTCCTTTTGACCAGAGTTGTTACAAGAATTCTAAAACCTCTATCAATCACGTCTAGTTGAGAGAGATACTTCCGCGAACAATAAAATCATCTGCGAAAAAAGGATGGAATAATGTTGGGCCATCTTTTGATAGTTTAATTAGTTTCCCTCCTATTTTCAACCTCTACCTGAATAGCTTGTGTCAGTCGATCCATGCAAAGTGTATATAGATAAAGCGATAAAGGGTCTCCACGTCAAACCCCCTCAAAGGGTGAAATCTTCTGTTTGATGCCCATTCCAAAACTTGAGTTGAAACAGTCGTCATACAAACTTTGCAAATTTGTCGGGCAGCCCATATCTAGTAATGTATCATCGATAAAAGACTATTCAAATATCATATGTCTTCTCAAATCTATCTTGATCGTCTTTCATCCTACTTTACCTCTTTTTCCGTCGCATTGTATGCACATCTCTTGAGTAATAACAATATTATCAATATATTCTGTCCTGAGATGAACTCGTTCAACTTTTCGAAACTCAAATCGACAACAATCGCTTTAGCCGATTCACAATGACTTCCATTACTGTTTTGTAGAGGACTGTACGCACTACTGCCCGAAATTAGGCAAAACTTTCTGGTGCCTTACTTTTGGAATTAGAACTAGTAATTCTATTAATATATGTCCGAACAGTTTCACTTTTAAAGAATAAACTGATGCTTTGGACGGATTCATGTCAAAAAATCACTGACATGAACTTTTATTCTAATCTTACCACTACAACTGTAATTGCATTTGAACAAATGTGACTGTTAACTTTAATCTCAATACTACAATACTTTATCTGATCGATCGTTACCAATTATAAATCGAAATCAATTTTAATATACATCCAAATGGAGCCATTAATATCAATATACATCCAAAGTGAATCTTAGATGGGTCAACAATCTAGCAATAAGTGTTGCTATTGTCCAATCTTCTTTACGGAGTCTAAAACAATCGATTAATAAAAATTAAATATAATAACATTTTAGGTTGAAATCGATTATGTTCTCTATATCAAATCATATAAGTTGCATAATTATTTTGGTTACAACCTAAAAGTACTGTCAAGAAACTCATGAATATTTTTAGTTGTAATCGAAACTATTATCAATTGAAACTTTTTAGATTAGACAATGTAACATTTTAAGTTAAAACATGTCACAATATAACATTCTCGTTTGTAACTGAAATTTTTACTAATTGTGTAACTTTTGAAAATAAACAAGTATCGAAAATAGATAGATCTTTTTTAAGTCTATGGGACTTTTTCGTACCAATGCAGAATCTTCTATAAAATAGATTATTAATAGAAATATCAAAAATTCCGAAAAACTATTCTTAGTTATAGTACTTATAATGATTTTCCTTTTCTGGGAAAAGGACGGGAAGAGAAAATTTAAGGTTTGGGTAACATCATAAATGGGGACAAGACAACCCGAGTTACAATTAAGAAACCAAACTGCTAGGGTCACTGGTAGCTCTTGTCTTTAAGAAAGCTATTGAGATTGGGCCACAGCATTTATAAGCTAACAGTCGGTCTATGAATCTCAATTTCATCAACCACCTTGTTCCCTGCATCCACTAGTATGCACTTCATATTATCAACCTGCTCCTACATTTGTTCCCTTGAATGCAAGGGCGAAGGGTAAACGCATATGCAATCGAGTCTGCCGTTGCATATGGTGTCAAATACGGCGATCGATGACCCAATGCCATGACCGGAAGCACATCCCATGTAGTCCTCTACGCCGACTTGGTTTTTCTGGTCATTTGACTCGTCCACCACGGTGTCCTCGAACACCGATATTAAACATGTTCTCAATGAAGACGATGGAGTCAAGCTAGGGTTTTCCATGGCCCTGGACATAAAGAAATTAAGGTCTGCCATGTCTGACAAGTGCCTGCCACTGCTCTTATAGTTTGTAAACGCGGTGTACGTTTTCTTGGCTAGATCCCAAAGCTTCTCACCTCCTTTAATGGTGTGCGTGTTGAGAATTGCTGAGTGGTAAAACCCTAAAAAGAATCGAAGAATCGTGTCAACTGAAACGCATTTTCTTATTTTGGCATGAAATTTAAAACATTGAACTTTAGTTGGGCGTTGAGTCTTTTTCTCCTATAAACAAAAAATGTTACACCGTACAGCCAGCCAGCATTGTCTTACTGGTTTCTATCAAAGAATTAAGGAAACGGGTATGGTAGTTGGCATAAATATGCATTCCAGGACCAAATTCATTAATGAATATCACTACAACAAAACTAGTCTTTAGCGGTGTTTGAGAGTAAACGCCAATAATTTTAAACATATAGCGGTGTTTACATTCCAAACGCCACAAAATGATAATTTTAGCGGTGCTTCTTCACAAGTACCGTAAAAGGGTTCATCTATAATGGTGTTTTGTCGATAAAGGCCGCAACAGAGTAGTACTTTAGTGGCGTTTTTATACAATGATAATCTATACAATGATATTCTATGATTTGATGATAACAGGATAATGTTGTTCTTTCAAGAGGAATCACGGTTCGAACAGTTATATCTACAAAATGTATATACTTATCAATAGGTTAATAAAAGTTCTGAACTGACAGATTTACCGAAGTGGTGATCGGAAAGAGGAGGTTCAAGAATTGAGCGGCAATCAGTGAGTGTTACAACACCATATTTCTTCTTTTGATGATCTGAAATGCTTTTAGAACTGTGCGCTGCAATCAGCCCGGTGGCACCTAATGCTCCACACAACTTAATGCCTTTTTCCTTGCAACCCTGAAAATGTTCAGTTCTTGAGTCTCAAATTTCAAGGCAAATTTACTAGTTAGATGCTAAAAATGATTATTACTTACACTCAAGATCTTCTTAGTGTCAGCAGGGTTGATAATCAACCTCACTACTTGTGTAGATCTGTGAGTTTTGCATCAATGAACTTCAAGTTCGTGAGCATTAAAGAAATTAACGGAGTAGCTAAACATGTCGACTCCCCGTGCCCAAAGCGTTTTCTTAGCCATCCCTCTAGGAAGAAGATCTTCAATGTCCAAACTGATCTCTCCTTTGTTCTTCGTAATCTCTTTTTGACCCTCTTCGTCAACAGCCATTAACGTCAACAACTCTCTCAGCAACAACACCACCGTGGTCCTGTCGCAGGCAGCAGCGTGTAGGCGGAGCACCAACACACAACCCGTTGCACCAGGCAAAGCGTAAACGCTGGCGAAAACCACGTCGGTTTTCGTTGAAGTAGTACTTGTCCAAGCGTTTTGGTTAAGCTCGTGTTCGAGAATGAGATGAAGGGGTGAGACATTTCGGTCACGTTCGAGGATTTGAGAAGTGGTGGCGTGGTTGAAGTAGTTGTTTTGAATGAAGGAAGGGGGGTTACGAAGGAGTAAGTGTTGTCAGTAGGATTGTAACGGAGGCGAGAGCTGAGAATTGGGTGGGAGCTTTGGAGGGCGTTTTTGAGACATGCCATGTGCATGTTGGATTAAGGAAGAATGGATGGCCAAGACGGCAATCCCTGTGCCGCTGACCCACAGCGTGGCACCATTGATCTCGGTGCCGCCTACAGCTCGACCATTGGGATGGAGCATTGAGAATTGATGGACATGTGGTATTGATATCAGCAACAGTGGGAGAGTAATGGAGTAGTAATGCTTAGTTTCGGCGAGCGTTGAAGTGGAGGATGTATCAGATATACAGTTGGTAAATAACAATTAAATGAACATCGCCATCCCTCGCCCGCCCATTTATACTATTTTCTATTCACCTAATCACATTTTTTTTAAAAAATTTTAAAAAATCATATAAATTTAAATATTTTTTATTTTTTAACTCTCAAAGTTAAAAAAAAGACATCAAAATTTACAATAAAATTGGTAAAATACACAAATGGTCCCTTGGATATATAGTCATTGCTTTGTTGGGTCTCCAACTATTAAAAAACAAAATGGTCTCTGGACTATAGGACGTTGCTTTATTGAGTCCTCAAACTATTAAAAATTACAAAATGGCCACTCAACTATTTGTATGTTCTAAACTCGTCTTTTTCCATTAAAAAATTGACGATCGTCTGAGCTGGACATTAAAATGTTGACTAGAATATGATAAAATCCGATCCCAAAATCGTTTGAGCTATATTTTATGGATCAACTCTTCATTTAAATTAACTGTCGAGTCAGTGCTTGAAAGAAACGACGGTGTCAATATGTATTATTGATTTTATCGTATCTTAACCAACATATTAATGACTAGCTCAGACGACTGTCAAATTTTTAACGAAAAATGATGAGTTTGGAACATATGAATAGTCGAGTGATCATTTTATAGTTTTTAATAGTCGAAGGACTCAACAAAGTATAATTATATAGTTGAGGGACCATTTTGTTACGTTTAATAATAAGATGACTCTACAAAACATCACCCTATAGTCAGGGGACCATTTGTGTACTTTACCCAATATAGTTTTATCAAATTTATATGATCTTATTTCATATATGCATGAAAAAAAGTAGGAAGTTAAAATGCAACATTTATAGTAGGTGATAGTGTCAACTATTTCTTGTTATCCCCTTCGACCTTTTCCCCATGGTAGAAATTTGTTATACCCACTGCATGTGTCCCCATAAATATAGAGTTCCATCATTACAAAGGCTTCATATTATAAGGTTCCGTTACTGTACAAGTGTACTATCAAGGTTTTAGATTATAAGCATTTGATTACTGATTTCATAATCATGAAACAATGATTGATATTATAAAATTATCCAGACTCTTGTCTGATTATTAGGAGAAAGAGAGGTCACTTGATGGCTTCTACAAGCAAGGTCGATCCTGCAATATTTACAGAGTACAAATCAGTTGTCCTGTTCGTGGATAATTTACCAGAGACTTTTCATTAGAAGGGATCATGGCAGTTTGATGGGCGTTATGGTGACGTTCACGGTGTGTACATCGCGAGGAAAAAGAGTCGTGTAGGTTCGAGATTTGTATTTGTAAGGGTTGGAAGTATGGAAGAAGCAGAGAAAGTGAAAGAGAGGTTGAATGGACTCAGATTACTTGGCAAACGCATCTCAGTTGATCTGGCGAAGTATGAGCTGAAAAGTACAAAGTAAAAAGAAGTGCCAAGGAAGATGGAATGGAAACCAAAGATGGCAGATTCTAGATTGGAGGTGAAACCGATAAGGGCGATGAATGAGTAGGTGGTTGCTCCCATGAAGGAAATTATGGGGCATGTTTATGAAGAAGACTTGAGAAAAATGCAGAGATGCTTAGTTGGTGTAATGGCTTCTGTGTGCAGTGTAGGGAATATAGTTAATAGATTACATAGCTGGGGACTGGGAGATCAAAGTTCAGAGGCTGGCAAATCCCTCTTACTCACCATTGAAGATGAAGATTTACTCATCCTACTTGAAGACCTTCAGTGGTCCTATCTGAAGGAGATTTTCATGAAAATAATCTCATGGACCGAGTCCTTAGTCAGAAGGAAAGAGTAGTATAGATCGAGTTAAAAGGGTGCCGTTGCACTGTTGGACTGAAATCACACATGGGAGATTGGCTGGGTTATAGGGTAAGTTGAGGCATATGGTGAGAATGCTAATCATAACTTAGAAACTCGAGTTGATGAAGTGGTGGACGTTAGAGTTGGAAAGCTAAGATTTGAAGCTCGGGCGGTTGAAGTTGGAATGACAGATAATTCGATGTCCAAGGTGAAGGATATTGCAGATATCAAGACAGGGGTGACAGTAAAGGATAAGGGGAAAATGGAATTGAGGCGGGGGAGGGAAAGTTTGCATCGGAAAATTTTTTCGATGGCTCGTCGGAGGCTTCCTCGTCGGGTCGGTTGGAGGACAAAGGTGACCCGACAAAAAAGGACTATGCATTTAATGAAACGTGCTCAGAAAAAAGTGTAGGGTAGCGGAGTAATGATGTGCTAGGAAAGGGTCTGAAGTTGGATGTGAGATTGAAGGAGGGGAAGAGACGCTGTCCTGGAACCAGATGGTATTGTTAGCGAGGGGAAATTTTTGGAAGATAAGACTTGGGTTGAAGATCGGAAATTGGGCCCCGTGGTGGATTCTACTAATAAGGATAAAATAGTTAGTAAGAAATAGAGGATAGCGTTTCAAAGGAGATTGTACAGAACCCAATTATTGGTACAATGTAGAATAATACCAGGGCTAAATTGTCCCATTACCGCTCCTGGCTAAATTATTTATTCAATTATGGCACTCAAAATTTTAATTTGAGATCTACAACAATTGTTTGTGTTAGGTGAGCCCCACAACCGGATTTAAAAATATTCAAGAGAGACTCGTCACACCAGCGTGACGAGTCCTAATAAAAAAATATTTTTTTAATTTTTTAAAAGGAAATTAAAAAAATAATATTTTATGGAGATGGAACTCGTCACGCCAACGGCTTAAATTTTAACTTTTTTGATTGTTGGATTGAACGTTATTCAACGGTCATTTTTTTTTTAAATTTTCAATGGAACTCGCGTCACGCCGGTGTGATGAATTCCAACACTATTTTCAGTTTCAAAAAAGTAGTCATTGGGTAGAGTAGTATAAATAGAAGTTTGGGTTGATAGATTTTTCACTTGTAATAAAACACTCTAATGAGAGCAAAAACTTTTGTGTTGAAATGGCCTCAAGAGAAGAAATGTTACGTCTTGATGATGTTCATATTTCGTCAATCGAATTGACAACGGTAAGTTTAATTTGTTTTATTTCATTTTAATTTTAATAGTATTAATAATATTATTTATGAATTGTATTAAATATTTATTTCAAATTGTAACGAAAAGAACGAACCATTCGTCGAAGAATGACGAATGAAGCCATGTAACACCCATCTCCCGTATGCCTTTCCGTACACGAGATATAAATGTCATGTCAATTTAAAACAGTTCTTTTAAAACCCCATAAAATTTGTTTCTTTTTATAAAACATTCCTTAAATTTAATTACATAACAAAAAGTATCATTCAAATGTTTTATAAAGTATCATTCAAATGTTTCATCATTTTACAAAAGGACAATTCAAATGTTTTTCAGAGTGTTTTTACTAAATGTATTACATGCCAACTAAATACATAAAAAAGTAGACATGTATGTCATACTGTTACTGACGAGCGATCCTTGCTTCGATGTCCGACGATCTCCTTACTCTCTGTATTACGACCTACGCATGAAATAAACACACGTTAAGTATTTACTTAGTGGCAAGACAAATAGTACAATGAAATCATCAATTCATTAATTCATATTGATCAAATACCCATTCATTATTTCCAAGTTAATAACATTTCGTTACGATGCACACGTAGTGCCTATACGGTAATTCATAAACTATTATGAATTATGTGGGTTGCACACATAATGCCAAAACAATTATTCATCAACATATGATGAATTTCATACTTTGCACACTTAGTGCTGAAATGGTTATTCATCAACATATGATGAATTCCGTGAATTGCACACTTAGTACCGAAAAGTTTATTCATCAACATATGATGAATTCTGTGAATTACACACTTAGTGCCGAAACGATTATTTATCAACATATGATGAATTCCGTGAATTGCACACTTAGTGCCTATTTGGTAATCACCCCACACATATTAAACAATCATACATATCTGACTAGTATAACATATAGTTACACAACATATAGTTACACAATTAAATGCACTCACCTGGCTTTCCTCGCTATGTATCCCAAAATGGCAAGCTGATTACTCCGATACTTTACCTTTTCCCTTAGTTTTGCTTGTCTTGGGCGCTTGGTTTCGATCTACTCAAGCCATTAAAGACACGAACAATGTCATTTTTTAGTATATTTCCTAACAATTTTACTTAAATAATACTCAAAAGTACATATTATTAAATTTCTATAATAATCTCAGCATATCTTAACATTTTTGGCTCAATAGTATCGATACCCCTACCATGGTATCGATACTATTATACTATGATATCGATACTCTATTACGATATCGATACCATTTTTGCATTTTGTTATCAATGGTATCGATACCTTCCTCACAGTATCGATATCCCCCTTTCGGTATCGATACTTCTTGCATCAATATCGATACTACCCAG